ATTAATAATAAACAATTAATAATTATCATCGTCATCAGTAGTAACATGTTCATACTTAAACATTTATATATATTTGTATATTTAAATTTGTATGTAATTAATGCATTAATAAATTTAATTGAAAATTGCATTTTTAAGAAGGAAAAAAAAATCCCAAAACTCAAGTCTCTCATAATATGCATTTTGTGACTAATTTTATAGAACTACAGATTTAGGTCTTATAATTTTTTTTATTTTTATAGCTGTATGTATTATTATTAATTTTCATCATATTGTATTTTTATGTAACATTTTATTTTTTTAAATTTTTGTGTTTTAGCTTAGAATTTTTGAGCCCTAGGTCTCGTTTACTATACAATATATAAAAATAATATAAAATATATTTGCTATTTTTTACAAAAATTACTCATATTTAACTCAAAGAGTGAGAAGATTTTATTTCTCTAATAAATTTGCTTGATTTTATAGTTTTGCAGAGTAGTGTTATTTTTTTTTAATTAGTTTTTTATTTAATTTCCCATTTTTCGGTATCTTTACATCATTTTCAATAGTAAATATCAATAACAATTGAACATAGTATCTCAACGATAACTGTTCAGTAATTGTAAATGGTGTAAAATTCGAATTTTTCGTAGGATTTTTAATTTATGGTGACAATTTCAATTTTATTGCAATAATAAAATTCAAATTTTCTAAATTAAAATAAAACAAATACGGACAATATATAATCTCATTATCGTGATCTTATCATCAACAAAATAAAAAAAACATCATCCTCATCAATATTATTATGTCATCGAAAGTAGAAGTATTTTACAGTAGAATTATAAAGCAAAGAACAAACAAAAAAAATAAATATAAATTGGATAAAAACCATATGGATTGTGTTTGTTTAATTGCTGTCAATCAGTTTAGTTTTCAACAAGTTGAATATTTCTTTTTTTATTTGTCTTTTTCGTCGAATACAATTCAATCTTCATTCAAAAACAAACAAAAAATAATAAAAAACATTTATTAGAATTTTAAATAATTTATGGTAGTTATTACGTATTAATAATATTACAAATAAAAATAAAAACAACAACTACGATTACTCATTGCAAGTGAAAAAAAGGATAAAATAAAAGAAAAAAAAATGAAGCATATAACTTCTTATCATTAAATTAAAACATATACATTCATATAAACTATATATTTTTAAATAAAAATACATATTAAAAATACTTTCAAAAAGTTAAAAAATATTAAATTCAATTGTGTTTTATTTCGAGAAGTATTAGGAATAAGAAGTTATTTATAAGATTTATTGGTTTTAATAAAAAACATCGCATACATTTTTTTTTTTGATTTTCATTAATTTTTATTTTTTTATTTATTTATTTTTATTTATTTTATTTATTTTCATTTTATTTAATCGAGCCCTAAAGGGCCATATATGATTAATATATTATAATTGGTAATGTTTGTACAACTATGTATAATCTAATTATATACATTTATATATATGAAATTACAATTTTATAAATTCTTTATGCTGGAAATTAGCTACATAAAATTCTCCAAGTATTTCTTTTTAATAACTGGAATGGAAAGATTGAAGTTCTTTAATTCAATGGGAAGCGAATTCCATAACCTTGATGTTCTTATTAAAAATGATCTCTCAAACGAGGAATTTGATATTCGGGGCAGTAATATATGAGGATTTCGCGTAGACTGCGATAAATTAAAGCATCTAAAAAGAGCCTCTGGTGATTTATCTTTCATTATGCGATACATTATTGTCAAATTATGAACATTAATAAAATTTCTAAATGAGCATGATAAAAATCGCGTTGCATAACCGGATACATGATCTCTTATATTAAGCCTAAATACATATCTTATTATTCGATTAAATACAAGCTGCAGTCTCCTAATTTGACTTCCAGTTGTTCCACTGTATATCTCTAAACAATACCGAATATGTGTCATTAGAAGTGATTGGGCTAGATTGATTCTTACCCGTAGTGGTAAGTGACAATCTAAATTATATAAAGTACGCAATACACAACAGACTTTAGCAGAAACGTCCGATATATGGTGCCCAAAATTTAAGCCACTGTCTAATGTTACACCCACTTCATTGTGTCAACAAAGTCAACATTAATTCCATCAAAAGTAATATTTATATATTCTCTATATCCGTTACTTAAACCGAATGCCAATGCTTTTGTCTTCCCTGGATTAAACTTAAGTTTATTAACGGTGGCCCAAATAAGAGTCTGGTTCAACACATAATTTATTGTAACTTCATGTGCATCAATAAATTCCTTATCCCCGCTAAACAGTAAATTAATGTCGTCGGCAAACATGTATGTGTGACATCTATTATTATCTATAAATTTAGAGTAATCATTTACATACAATAAAAACAACCATGGGGACAAAATAGAGCCTTGTGGCAATCCACTGGCATACTCCTTTACTGTAGATTTAATACCCTTTAAGCCCACATATTGCTTTCTGCCAAATAAATACGAGTAAATGAGACGACATGATACGGATGAAAAATTAAATTGGGAATGTAACTTATTCACCAAAATGTTATAATTAATTGTATCAAATGCCCTACTTAAATCTAGGGAAATTAATGTTGATACCCTTTTATTTTCCAAATCACTACGAACTTTTTCAGTTAGCGCTAGCAATAGTGTTGAAGTACTCCCACCTGCTCGAAACCCAAAATGGCTATCATCCAATAATTTTCTTGAGTTTACATGGTTTATAATTTGGTCCTTAAGTATTGCCTCAAACACTTTTGCCAATGAATTCAAAATGCTTATTGGTCTGAAGTTTTCCAATACATTTGTCCCTATTTTCTTTTTAACTGGTACAATACGGGAAATCTTCCATTCATTAGGATACATTGAGGTGGTTAAAATTGTGTTGTAGATATGTATAAGATAACATTCAATGAAGGGATATATTTTCTTCAAAAATTTTACGGGAATATTATCAGGACCTAGTGAATTAGATTTCACAAGAGAAAAATGGTATTGAAGTTCAACTCTTTCTATACATCTAAAAGTGAATCCTGTGTTCGAAAAAGAAGTAAAATCAGGTGTGGAATCAATGTTCTCAGACTGTGATACAAAGTAATTATTGAAGGTATCAGGATCATGGTAATCCAAAGGATTGAAATCTTTCCCACCAATCCTACTATTAAGAATCTTCCACATTCCTCTATTATCACAATTATCAAATCTTGAAGACCAGTATTCAGCCTTATGTCTTCTCAAAATTTTTTTTACTCTGTTTCTATATCTACAGTATGTTTATTAGAGTTTACATTAAATTTATTTGTACACAGTTTCATAGTGATACCAATGTTTATAAGTGAATTTTGATCTTCAATTCATTTTCTGAAGGGTACTTTTTATGAGGGCTAGGGTCAAATGAGGATCGATCATTACTTCAATAGTTATTATAATTGTAACCTAAGTTTTATCGTTTTCTTAGAAATTGGTTTGTTCGCTATTTAGCGAGTTCACTCGGAGGCCTTGTGGCCCATTGTGATACCCTTAGAATTACCATTCTCTTATGTTGAGAGATTGGTTTCCCTAACTAATTTCGTTGACTACTTGGTTCTTGCGGTCCCCTTGAAAACCAGCCGGCTTTTCTAATAAAACCGATAATGTTTACTAGTAATAGTCCAGATCATGGAAAAGACCTCTACCAAGATATAGTAGTATGTGCTCTTGTAAGGCTGGACAGTCACACAGAAGGCGTTGTACCAATTTCTCTTCTTTCTCATCCAAACAGCTTCTACAGTAGTTTCCGACATATGTCCAATCATACAGTACACAGTAATTATACAAGTGAGAAGCCTAATCGAGTTTTTACAAGAAGACAAGACAGTCCTAGACCTATCCGATGTAAGAGTGTGCCAGAGAAGTCTCGATATTCTACAAGTGGTTATATTTGACCACCTGAGTTCCGTCTCACTTAAAGCACAGTTTTTTCTGAAGGGTACTTTGTATAGGGTCTAGGGTCAAATGAGGACCGATCATTACGACAATAGTTATTATAATTGAAACCTAAGTTTTATCGTTTTCTTAGAGATACTATGAGCTCAAAAGCGATATTCGGGGGTTGTATGGGGACTAGAGGAAATATTGAGCCGATTTTAAACATTTTGGCAAATTTCATATTATCGTTAAATTTGCGTCCTGTAAAAAACGAACCGAAGATACTCTATTTCAAGAAACACAAAACAATTTCTCTTGTGATATTAAGTGAAGAGTCAAGCCTACCTTAAACGACATAAATCAAGGTTGTCCATAGTGATAAACTTTTAGTAACAGTACAACTACTTCAAGCAAACTCAACTAGTTTAAAGTGCTTGCAGAAAAAAAAACTACTGAAGAAAGGTCTCCAACAGGTTTCTTACATACTTAACTGCTCTACCACACTTTTTATAAAGAAATTACGGACTGACCCCCCTAATCATAAAAGTTGTTGATAGTTTATTGTAGGAATTTCCCATTTATTTCACAATTAAGAATGTGTTAGATAAAATTCCATTGATATTGAGATGGAATACTAATGTGGACAATTCAAATACTTCAATTTAACATAAACATCTCTTTTTCTTATATTAAAATAAAAAAACTTACCAAAATGAGAAAGAAGTCTTCATATTTGTCCAAGCTGCACTTTAACAAAATCAACAAAACAAACACCAAAATACTTTAAAATCAATCACTAAATACACATAAACACATATTTTTGACAATATTCAACAAATAAACACATAATTTCACATATTTTAAAATTTTAACACAATTTTACAATTTTCTCTGACAAATTCCTATTCGTTTTACAAAATAACTGTAAAAATGCCATTTTTATTTCACCACTTGTAAACAAATTTGTTTCATTCCAAAATGGAATGAAACACAACACAAAATAAGAGATGACACATTTTAATTCAAAACAACTGTCAATATAAATATGGCATCCTTAGCCAAAAAAAAAAAATGTAAACATAACCAAACAATAACAAACGTTTAAAAGAGAGGAAAACATCTTTTATTTGTTTATTTTTAATTTTTAAACAATTTTATTTAATATATAAGTTAATTTTCCAAAAATATGGATCCGTCTGAAAGTAATTTAGGTAAACTAACGGAAGAATCAATAAAACGTAAAGAGCGTTTACGCCAATTAAGAGAAAAGGCCAAGAAAAATGAGGCAAATAAAAATGACCCCCAAAAAGAAGAAAAGTTACCCAAGTAAGTTTAAATTAAAAATTGTTTAAATATTTTTAACTAAATTAATAACATTTTACTTCTAGACCCATATTCCGTAGTTATAGGCCACAAAATGAAACAACCGAAGGCGAGATTTTACCCCAAGAACCTTCCGGCGACATAGAAACAGCAGTTGAAGATCAATTGGAGTTGCTGAAACAACCTATTATTATAGATGAGATTGATATAACAAATTTAGCACCCCGTAAGCCAGATTGGGATCTAAAAAGAGATGTTTCTAAGAAATTAGAGCGTTTGGAAAGAAGAACACAAAAAGCCATAGCAGAGTTAATCAGAGAAAGACTGAAAAAGAATCAGCAAGGCAATGATATATTTCAGGCAGTCAATGTGGCTACAGCTCACGCAGGAGAAACAACAAACAACGAGGATGAATGATGTGAAAATAAATATATATTTAAAATTATATTATATGCTAAATAAACAAATTAATGCTAAATGATAGATTTTTTTAAATTCAACGTCTTGCTGTTCTGCTTATATCTTTAGAAGGTCTTATATTTTCCTTGTCCAAAGGCTGCAGTTTCATTTTCAGGGAATTTATTTCTAAAAAAGTAAAAGAAATGAAGTTACATTTTCTGGTTTTAAACTGAAAAATTCGCTTACGTTCTGTATATTTCGTTTCCAAAGAATTGGCAAATTTCCTCATAGAGTCCAGCTCTCTGGGTATTTCTCTTCGTAAGGACTCCACGGTAGCCCGGAGAAAAACCAGTTCCTCTTCACGGTCTTTTAAAGCCAAATCCTTTTGTTTTATGGCCTGTTCCTGTTGCAAAGCCACTTCTGTACGCCAACCTATAGTTTTCTTCATTTTATTTAGTTCTTGATTTTGTTTCATAATTATTTGATTTGCTTTTGAAATTTCTTCGGTAGCCATTTCCAAGGCCTGCCTCTTAGTCTGACTAATTTTCTTTTCTGCTTCTAATTCTGCCACCAATTCAGCTTTATTTTTATCATACTTTTTAAGTTTTTCTTTTAATTCAGTGATCTCTTTGCGTGAATCTTGCAAATGCATTTCATGTTTACGTTCAAGATTTTTAAGAGCTGATATTTCCAAGTGTAGCTTTTCATTTTGTTCTTTAAGATTTGATATTCTTGCTTTTGAGGCAGCTAACTCTTCATTAAGCGTTTCATTTCGTTTAAGTTCTTGCCTGGTTAAGAAGAAAGTTTATCTATCTGATAATTAGAATACGACAAATTAAACTTACACTTTTTCACTTTGTATTGCACTTTTCTCCGAAACTAATTTATCTATTTGCTGCTGCAGGGCATTGATGGTCTTACGATTTCTTTCGCTATCCTGTTGTCTTTGTTCTCCCGTTTTGCGTAAGCTTTCTTGCAATTGCATCAGTTCTTCAGCATGTTTTTGGTTTATACTTCTGGTGCTTTCCATTAGATTTTCCCTTAGTTTCAAACACTCGGCATCTAATTGATCTATACGCCGTATATGATTGTGTATTTCATGTTGCAATTGTTGTGACGTTTGTTCGTGGTTAAGGCATTTTTTCTAAAATATTTAATTTATTTACTGCTAAAGCTTTAATGGATTCTTTTAAATATTTACCTGCAACACATCCAATATATTATTCATATAAAACAATACAACATTCAGGGGAGCCATACGACAGGGCAAGCATAAATGTATTAAATTCTTAAATGGACGCATTTCCACAAATTGCAATTGATAATTGCAATTCATTTGGCCAGCACTCAATACCGTATCACTTAAACCTATACCTCTAGTATCCTGCTGCAGTTGAACCAGACATATTTCCAATTTGCCAGCCTGACAGTCTTGCAATATATGGACCAGATTTTCTATAAAACCGGCAAAGGTGACATGTAATGATTGATCCTGTTTCAATTCCTGAAACGAGGTGCTATCCACCGTCGTTATATACATTTTGCGTTGATCACATTTTTCCGTCAATCTTAGTTGCTAAAGTAAAAGTTAAACATTTTTAATTAACTGATCTTTATATTAATTTTATTTTAGCTTACTATTAATCCTTTAAAATCTAGTTTTTCAGCGTAAACAAAACAGGCTTTCTGCGCTTTTAAACCATTCGAACGAAAATTTACCATTAATTCGGCCGTTGGTAAAATACATTCGACATTTTTGCTGTAATTTATATTTGCAAAGTGATCATCTTCCTGGTTGGGCATAGGAAATGAATTAAACATTTTTTTATTTTGAAAATAAATTTTAAATAATCTTTGCCAGTTTTCGTACAGTAAATAATGCTTCTTCTTTTTATAATTGCTTTGTTTACATTAAAACTTGTAGTGTAAAAACGCTCGGAGCAAGTTACCTACAGGGTTGATTTTTTTAGTATGTTTTTGAAAATTGGAAATTTTGCTGAGGCTCAGCAAAAATTTCCAATAATCGTTTTTTTATATGGACTTTATGAACTCAGCAAAGCTACTGAGAGGCGGGGTATCTCAGCAAAATTGTCGCATATGAAATATATGTGTTTGTATGTCAATCCCAGCAAATTTTGCTGAGGTAGTCTTCCTACGAGTTTCTACAACTGTGTTGTTATATTTTTTCACTCCGATATTGAATTTTCTATATTCTAATTATATATTCTTATTATATATTCTGATTATAAGAAACATGAAAGCGTGTAGAGCCCCGATTAAGTGAGAACCTGGTTCTTCAAAAGGTACATTTTAAGTTTTTGTATAATATTGAACCTAGAAACGTGAAATTAAGCATGTAGATCCCGGATTAAGTGAGGTCCTATAAAAGGGGACTTTTTGGTACATTTTCGTTCTTCAAAAGGTATTTTTTGAGTTTTCTATTAAATTGAACATAGAAACATGAAATTATGCACGTAGAGCCCGGAGAAAATGAGAATCTATAAAATGGCACTTTTTGGTACTTTTTCGTTCTTTGACTGGACTGAGCTTGCTACAAAATTTGAACCTCGAAACATGAAATTAAGCACTTAGAGCCTGGAGTAAATGAGAATCTATAAAAGGGGAACTTTATCGTACTTCGACTGGTACTTTTTGAGTTTTACATAAAATTAAACATAGAAACATACAAATAAATATGTATAAAAAGGGACATTTTAGTACTTTTTCGTTCTTCGACTGGTACTTTTTGAATTTTTTATAATATTGAACCTAGAAACATGAAATTAAGAATGTACAGCCCGGATTAAGTGATAACATATAAAAGGGGACTTTTTGGTACTTTTTATTTCTTCGACTGGTACTTTTTGAATTTTTTATAATATTGAACCTATAGACATGAAATTAAACCTGTAGGGCATGGAGTAAGTGAGAACATATAAAACGGGACTTTTTGGTACTTTTTCGTTCTTCAACTGGTACTATTTGAATTTTCTATTATAATGAACCTAAAAACATAAAACTAAGCAATCAGGGACTTGAATGAATGAAAATTTAAACTGGAGTATTTCTGGTAATTTTTCGTTCTTTAACTGGTACCTTTTGAATTTTCTAAAATATTGAATATATAAACATAAAATTAAACACGAAGTATCCTAATTGAACGAAAATTTATCTCTTTATCAAAGTGAAACTTTTGGAATATTTTTCAATCTCTTTGTGATCCCTTTAAATGATGTTGTTCTGGAAGAACTTTAACATCCATGTAAACATTTTGGGTAATAAATTGGGAGACTACCAATGAGGGGAGCGGAACCTCCCATATGAATTAAATACAAAAATTCGTTTATCTGGGAAACTAATAGGACTAAATTCTTCAATTTTGGGGGGCTTGGAGCTCCCATATGAATTAAATAGAAAAATTCGTATATCTGAGAAACTATTAGAGCTAGAATCTTCAAATTTTACTGAAGAACATTTAGAGAAATTGCAATAATTTGCGTGGAATCTCCCATATGTAACAAATTGTATATCTGGAAAACCATTGTAGTTAGAATCATCAAAATCGTTAACAGGATTTCTTATTTATATTGCTTTTAGGGTAGCACAGCACACTGGGTATAGCTAGTAAATAAACAAATAAAATATCTTTGTTTTTACGTTTTATATGGAGGATAGGGTTAAATATCGGCAGATCCTCGTAAAACTTGGAGAAAGGATTTGTTTTTAATTTTTAAGAATTTTTTATTCATCCCTGCATAATTTCTCACACAACTTTTGAGCTTGATCTGTTTTGTTGTTATAAACAATATATTTGCTTCCAAAATCCCACTTTCTGATCTCTCGGAGTCCGTTTTTATTTAAAATCGTTGAAAATTTAAAAACTAAACGTAGTTGAAAACTTAGCCGGCTTACAGTCGATTTTAAGCCGCCGCCGACATATTTAGTGTCAGTCGCCGCCGCCGTTAATATATGTCGGCGCAGTGCTCTGTCCATCACACATAAAAAAAAGCCGCGTCGAGGAAAAAAAGAGTAGATTTTATAACAAAATTTTGGAAAAATAGCTTTATTTTATTAAAACTAAAATAGGAAATTAACAAAAAACACACAAAACTAAGGAAAATGGCGGTAAGTATATTAGAGAATATTATTTTTCCACACAGATGGAAAATAACAAATTTTCTTAGCACATTTTTTTTTCTAACCAATTTGTGGAAAATTAATGGCTTTATTTTTCGCTTTTAGCAACCTACCAAAGTATTTGTTGGTAGTCTGCCACCAGGCACAAAACCAGAAGAACTAAGACGTTTATTTGAGAATTATGGTATCGTAGTGGAATGTGATGTCATGAATCGTTGTGGATTTGTGCATATGAAAAATGCCGCAATGGCGGAGAGTGCCATTGTTGCTTTAAATGCTAGTGAGTTCAAGGGCCAGTCCATAGTAGTGGAACATGGAAGAGCTAAAGAAAGAAAGCAAGGTGGCGGAGGCGGTGGTGGCCGAGGTGGTAATCAAGGTGGTGGTATGGGTCCTAGAGGAGGTAGAGGTGGTGGCAGCGGCCGTGGTATCATGGGTAAGTCTTGGTGTTCCAAAAAAAATATTTTTATAAGTAAGGCTTGAGGGAAGCCAACAAAAAGGTATTCCTTAATAATATAATAAATTCTATTTTTTGTGTTTTCCTATTAAATAATTCTATATAAAAATTAAGTTGGCTTCCCTGGCAAGCAAAATTTTAATCAAGCGGCCACTTTGCAATTGGCCGGTGTCATTATGGAACTACTGGGTGATCAACAAAACCAACTCGATGATATTTCAGGTGGCAATAACAATAATAATAATATGCCAAGAGGCGGAGGAGGTGGTGGTGAGCCTGGTTTTCGCAGAGGCGGTGGTGGTCCTGGTGGTCATCAAGGTGGTCGTGGTGGTAATTTCCAGGGTGGCCACCGTGGAGGAAATCAAAATATGAATGGTGTGGGACCAATGCGTAATCAAGGCTTTAAAGGGGACAGACCTGCCCCTTACCCTCAAGGCATGAATATGGGCGGTCCACCTAACAATCAACAAGGTGGAGGTCATCAAGGTGGCAGATTTAACAATCAGTCGAATAGAGGTGGTGCTGGCGGTCCAGCTGGTAACTTTAACCATAATCCTCGTGGTGGTAATTATGCTCCAAAACCGAATGCCAATAATTACGGTGGTGATGGCAATAATTCCTGGAATAATGATCAACGTAGAGGTATGCCTCCACAAGGTGGTCATGATTTTGCTGAAGACAATTTCTCAGGTGGTTTCAGTGGCAATATGGGTAATTCTGGCGGCGGTGGTGGTAACTTTGGTGGTCAACAAGACAGACGTGGTTTTACTTTGCCCTCAAATCAATTCCAACAGTATGGTGGTAATGCTGGTGGAAACCAATTTGGCGGTTATGGTGGCAATGATGGTGGTGACTCGTTCAATGATGATGCCATCTTCCAGAGACGCAATAATAATCCTTCAAATGGGTAAGTAGTGCAGTTATCTATTTATTTAAACAGTTGTGATAACATGCATGGAGTTTTTTTAATGGAAATTTGTAAAAATTAGCAAATTTGTTTAGTTCATAAGTGGGCAACTTTTGTTTTTATTTGTCACAGTAAAAATAACTAGTTGTTATTAATATAATTAAGCAATATGAACATAAGTTTAATTTTTGATTTATTTACTTGTTTTACTAATATTGATAAATTTCTTTTCTCTTATGCTCGCTTTGTATAACAACAGTCCTATTATCATTGATTTCAAAAGTACTGGACATGGACAAGGTGGTGGCGGCGGCGGTAGTGGTGGCAATTTCAATCGTGGTGGTAATCAAGGAGGTCGCGGAGGAGGTCAAGGAGGTAATTTCCAAAACAAACGTGGTGGTCAGGGTGGCTTCCAACAAGGAGGTGGTTTTAAACGTGGTGGACCCGGCGGCAATAACATTAATATGAACTCGGGCGATAATTACCAGCAAAACTTTCCTCCACTAGGAGGTGGTCCAGGTCAAGGTGGCTTTGGCCAAAATCGCAATCAAGGCGGTCAAGGAGGTCGTGGTGGAGGTGGTGGCGGTATGAATCGGTAAGTTATGTTTTATTGTTTACTTTATATTATACAGTTATAGGTTTTGGGAAAATTATTGTAAATCAAATTTTATTTGAAATTTACATTTAAGAAGTTTAAAGTCTTTAACGTGAAGCTTAAACGTTGTTTAAAAATGCGTTTTTATAATTGAAAATATGCTGGCAATGGATATAATAAGGGAATTTATTGGCGATATTAAAGCGTTGAAGCTACTTTTACAAAACAAGGCAAATATAACCAAAAAAGAGCAAATTAAAACTTGGTTTATTTGACTAAATTTGTAGGATTATAAAATTAATAACAAACATCTATAAAATGTATAAACATATAAACCGAAAAAGTTATAAAAACACGTTTTCTATATAAAACTGTAACAATTTTCGAAATAATAAATTTGTAATAGTCATTGTTTTACGAATAAAGTTTCTCAATCGAAACAATTATTAGATGTTTATATTCCCAAATTTCCGTTCAAAATTTTGACAAAAATATTGAAATTTTATTAGAATAAAAAAATATTATAATTTGGAAAAAATGTAATCCCCCCAATTCTATCAATTGATAGAATACGGAAATTTTAAAACTCTTTCAAGTTGCAAAAAATATTGAATAAACTGAAATAAAATTTATGAATTTTTGAAACAGACGATTCTGTTAAAGATTTTAGGTGGGACGGATAGTTGAGAAATAACTTAGTTTAGCTTAAGAACTCCATATACTATATACATATATTCTAAATAAGATAAAAAAATAAGCAAACAACTAATTTAAACAATTTATATTCTTTTAAACAGCAATGCGCCTCGACAAAATATGCCAAATCGTCGCTATTAAAATGCAAACAAGATTACTAAAGCAAAATTTTATTTAAAAGGAAAAACTAAAAATTAATTTCAATTAAAAGCAAACAAAATAAAACTATCAATAAATAGTATTTTTAAGTGTAGACATTAGACTACTAAAAAAACGTTTAAAAAAGAATACGTTACGTAACGTAAGATCGTACCAAACGCAATGAATTAGTTTTTATGCGACGTAACATTAAACGTTATATTTTAAGATTTTTTATTATTAAAAATTGATTGTTTCGACAAACAACAACTATTTTATTTGACCGAAAAAAAAAAAATAATGCGTTTTAGTTTTTTTAAACAAAATACATAATTGTAAACAAAAAAAAAATATCATCTAATTTAAAGTTTATAATCATAATTTCCATAAACCTTTATAAACTTATAAAAAAAGTATAACAATCGTTTTTTAAGAAATTCCCAACTAAACCAACAAAAGTATACATTAAAAAAATCATTTAAAAATACCTCACATTATGCGTTTTATTAAAATCGATAAAGAAAAACTAGGAATTTATCCAACCTGCAGTTTAAATTTAAACTAAAACTAACTCTTTAAAACTTCGCTTACCTCAGCAGATATTTGGACAAGTTCTTTCCAAAAGCTTAAACAGTAAAGAGATTTCAATAAAATTTCTTAAAAAAAATTTGCGGATAGTTTCTCGTAAGTACATACAAATTTACAAAATAATTTAAGAAACTAATTAATTATTTACGACAACACAGAATACATATATACGTTTCTGTCAAAAAAGTGAAATAAACTTTAAAATTAACAGGAGATTTAGTTAAACAAGCGTTGAATAACAACTACTTGGTAAAACATTTGATTAAATAATAAAATATTTAATATTTCAACTTAAATACAAGTTAAATCAAAGTTTAATTTAAATTGTGTTTCTTTTTAATGTTTATATTTTTACTAAATTCTTTTTCTAATACTTTCTTTTTACAGGCAACGTTTCTAGGGATGCAAATCATCGCAACTAAATTAGAAAAAATTTAAATCTATAATAATAAGTGTATGTTAAGTACATAACAATTTTAGTTTAATTACATTACTTACTCACCCATTATTTGTATTATGTATTAAAGTTAATGAAAAAGACTGTCTTCCGCACTATTTTGAAAGATTTTTATTTTTATTTTTTGTACTACTACTATTTTATAAGTTTTATCCAAATTTGACTTTTTTGAAATAAATCCATTACGCCAAAAAACCTTAATAATTTTATTTCTAAATAACAGATTATAAATTTTTGTTTAGTATTCTATATTCTGATTTTGGTTTTTACAGATTTTTCAGTTTTACTTTAAAATTTCTTAAAAATTATATTTCCTAGTGGGGTTTTTTTATATCTGCACTCTCTCCTATTTACGTTCTCTTTAAAAGAGAGTAATTTTTATGAATACAATAATAATAATGCCAATACATTGTAATTTGTATATCCCCACAGGGGAAAAAGAATTTCCATAATCGCTTTGGAAATAAAATTAATAAAAAAAAAAAAAATGGGGGATGTTTTGTAAGGTCTAGAGATTAGAAGGAGTTACATTGAATTAATTTAAAAGATATGTAAATATGTACTATATATATATATATTGAAAGCTTTAAGAATTAATGTATTTCTGTTGGAGTTCGATTACGGCTTAAAGAAACCAACTATAAATATTTCTCATTAAAAGATATATCTTAAAACGTAAATTAGATAATTAATGGCTGGATCAAACTAAAGGACTTAAGTTTGAAAATTTAATACAAATTTCAGAATTTAAGTACAAAAACCCATCCTTAATGACTTGATTGTACTTCTTTGATAGAAAATAGTTTGCAAATATAACTTTCTGATTGCCAATTGGTTCTAAACTTCTTGAGGATTTATGTTTGACGTCAGGCTTTCTACGGAATTGCGTTTCACTCGCGTTTGTGTGGTGCATTACGTCGTGATATCGTTTCACCTTGTGGAGACCATTAAAAACCAACTGTTTTTACCCTTGTAAAGGCCATTTAATACTCGGAACATGTATACTCATTCAAAACTCAAATTTTACATAAATGTTTAAATGTTCACAGCTTCCTATATGAAGATATATAGCAAAAACTTTCATTACTAAGTAGGGCGTTTAAATGATAGAATTCAAGCAATAGCATTTAAGTAATTATTTTTAGTCATTATTTGGCAAGTACTTGCCACGATCGCTTGGAAATAATACTTTTTTTTGAAAAAAGATACTAACTAATAGTTAACACACAGAAATAGTTAATTTTTCTGTTCGTGTAAAAATTCGATTACAAAATGTCAAAGCGAAAAGGTAAGCAATTACATATCAGGTTATTTGTAAGTAGTTACTGGACTACTTTTAAGTAATATAATCGTCGTAAGTTATTGGGTAAGTACCAAATACTGTAAGCTATTGGGTAAGTACTAGTCATTACTGTGTTTTTCATAGGTAGGTCGGCTTGGAGGATTCCCTTTAAAACAACTTAGGACATAACGGCGTTTTTTAATGAACTCAAATCAAATAACGAAAATAATACATCACTTACTCAATCTAGGAGGATGGCGCCATATATATAGCTGTCTTTAAAAACAGGCCATACGTGCATTGGCCTAGTAGATCTTATCGGCTATCAAATTTCAAGATTTTAAAATTCGAAAATATCAGAAATTATGATTGATATTTTAAGTATAAGTTTTCTTAAAGGAAAGCCACCATCTTGTTAAGAATTTTAATATGCATAAGTCCCACAATTGTCCCGTATGAGCCGTGTCGGATGCAATGGACAGCTGCTACTATAACATAATCTGCCCTTGTAGAGCTTTTATAGTGATAAGCGAGCAATGCCTTAGTACTTTTATAGTTTATTAGCCTAAACTTTCGAAAATAATGAAAATAATACATCACTTACTCAATCTAGGAGGATGGTGCCATATATATACATAGCTGTCTTCAAAAACAGGCCATACGTGCATTGGCCTAGTAGATCTTATCGGCTTCAAATTTCAAGATTTATAATGACAAAAGCTAACCATTATTAATTTGACAATAATCGTTAAGAATACTAGATTTGTTCACTTTGGGAGACCTGAGATCGAACGGTCATTATCGATATTCAGGCCCATCTATAAAAATGATAGGAATTTCAACGATGTCTGTATAAAATTCGATAATATCAGAAATTATGATTGATATTTTAAGTATAAGTTTTCTTAAAGGTAAGCCACCATCTTGTTAGGAATTTTAATATGAATAAGTCCCACAATTGTCCCGTATGATCCGTGTCGGCTGCAATGGACAGCTGCTACTATAACATAATAATCCGCCCTTGTAGAGCTTTTATAGTGATAAGCGAGCAATGCCTTAGTACTTTTATAGTTAGTAATTAACCTAAACTTTCATAAATAATTCCAAAATAACTCCTATCCGGGCTAAACTTATTGGGATCAATGTTTGATTTTATTATCTCACCCTACATAATCCTAAATTTTACACATTCCCCTTTAAATATGAAAAACAAATATATGAACATGGCAACTCTAAATACCATACGTTTTGTTTTCTCTCTCTTTTGTGGTGTTTTTGTTTTCATTGTTTTGTTTTTTTTTTTTTTTGTTTATTCAAAAACAGAGTATAAATTCGCAAAAGTCACCGTAGTTGTGTGTAGTGGTGAAGGTGCTCGATTCGACGGACAGAAGTTGGTGTCTATTATTTCTTTTTCTATGGTTATTTTTCTGAAAAAGACAAAAAATAAAGTACAATATCTAAATAAAGACAGTAGAAAGAAAATGAAGCAATAGTAAAAATTTTAAAGAAAATCTAAATATTAACAAAAATCGAGCTAAATTTATTTAGAAAAAAAGTGCCACACATCCAGTCTAGGAAGTGAGACATCTAAAATAAAATCTCCAAAAGCAGACTGTCTTTGCAATATACCATTTTTTTTAAGTTGCAAAATTATTTACCCAAAAAGAAATAAAAATCTAAAATTATGTCAAATCAAATACATTTAACAACAAAAATAACAAAATTTCATAATTTTTGTTATTGTTGCGTTAAAAATGGTGCATTATTTTTGTTATTGCTGGTGTTTATGGCCAATACACTGGCGGTCACAGCCACAACATCAACATCGTCTACGTCGTCAATAGATGATTTTGGTAATAGCCAAGCAACAGCTGTTGACTTGAAAGGCAAATTGGTATTTGCTCATGTGGTAAGTTAAGGGAAAAAAGAGGTACTTAACTAGTAATGAAAAAATTATTTTTGTTTTCTTGGCCAGCTTTATCGTCATGGTGATCGTACGCCCATTGATCCATATCCTACAGATCCTTGGCGTGATGCTAAACAATGGCCAACTGGTTGGGGTCAATTGACTAATGTAAGTATTTGGGAATTTTATTTGTTTTCGTATGATTTAGTGTTTTTTAAGTCAACATATGGTAGCAGTTTTTTTTTTTAATTTTGTTTAGACAACAAAAACCTTTTTGTTTTGAGTATAATTTTTTATCTGATACCTTTTAACAAAGAACTTGATTAATTTAGCAATATTTTTTTTTGTATTTTTAATTAATATATTATATGAACGAACTTAATGAGACCAACAATTTTTGTTAAAATTCTCTAAAAGTTTTTAATCTATGTCTATTTGTCATTCCGATCGAAATTAGGGTTATCTCCGTATTTAAAATCTTTCCAATCGGAATACATGACAAGCCTGATGACTTTTTGGGATTCCTATTTTCTTCATATCAAAACTATTCGAATCTTTTTAGTTCGGAGGCGTCGATAATATAAGCTTTATACTGGGTCTACTTGGGTCAAATATTGACCGAACTTTGGAAGTGTGACAAATTTCTAATAACAATGATTTTTTGTAGAATTTCTCTTAATACCTTGGATTTTTAACGGTTTTTATTTTTATGTAATAGGAGTTATATGGTAGGTAGATCAATATCATCAATACATACATATCGATTCTAAGTTAAGGTCCTTATGGGGGCTATGGTTAAAGGGGCACCGATTTTGTCCATTTTGAACACAAAGCAAAGGATATTTATAGAACATTTTAACGTAAAAATTTTTAAATTTTCATGAATTTTTATGACTTTTTAGATTCAATTCTTAAATTTGAAATTGTTATTCTGTTAGCTTCAAAACCTTGTTATTGGAAAATCATCCTACAAAGTCTAGTCATTTCATTTTAGACAACTACAATAAATGTACATTTTCATTTGTTATAGTCGGTTCCATTGAACATTTTGGCAATTGTAATGTTAAACTTTGCTCTTATCATTTATCAGAAAATATTGGTAGAATTTAAATTATTTTATTTATTTATACCTAATTTAATGCTGAAAACCTTCTAGACATTTAAAAAATATCACAAATTAAAAGAAAATTACCTTGTCAATTGGCAAGAGCAAAAAATTAACTTCCTACAAAATATATAAATTTACACATGCGAAATACTTTAAAATTTTTAACTTTATTTTATTATAAATACTTTAATATTCAATATTTAAACAGTATGTTCTGATTAAGTTAGTTTTAGACAAATATTATTCTAACCCATACTTTCGTTTTCTATGTATACTCGTTTTTTTGTTCAAAATCAAAAAATTCTTTATAAGTAAACATACACCAAACATCTTCATGTTTTGGTGACTGTTTAAATTGATTTCTTTTGAAACGAAACTGGTTCAATAAACTTGTTTTAGTATTTATACTAAATAATGTATAAAAGCCTTAATTGAATTGTATTTATTAATTTTAAATTTTGTATTGAAAACAAAACTCTATAACATTTATGTTAAAATACACAACAAAAAATGTTAAGGTTCAATTGTTTCACTTGTTATTCTCTTCTAAAGGGAAATTTTCACCTGCTAATAACTTTGAAATTAAGTGTTTAGTGTAATTATTATTTTATAGCTATAATTTTTCTAATCACACTTAGTTAGTTTAATAATTAGCTTTTAATATTAATTTAATTTTAAATTTCAAGTGGTCACGCTATAAATCATAGTAACATGTTTTATGCTGACAAAGTTATTTTTAGGAAATTAATTAATTCAATTATTTTTTTATTTAAAGGCAGGTGGGAATACTTTGTAATGTTGTTTATTTGGGTTAATAAAAATCTATGACACAAATTAATTACAAAATTTTTAGCTTTTCGTCGGTTACTTGAAAATGAAGAAAAACTATAAAAATATTTCCATAAATATTCGAATTTGGCAAATTGTTAGAAATTAACACAAATTATATTTTTATTAATACTCATGATTTAAACATTTTTTCGAACATGAATTCGATCTTTCGAATATTTGTATTATATATATATATATATATATATATATATATATATATATATATATATATATATATTTTTTAAGTTCGAAATTCGAAAGTGGTCTCAATTGAAATTTAAGTCGTTTCTATGTGGAGTAAGTAGTTTGACTCAAATAAGTTGGATAGGATTTAGTTAGTTATTTAGTTAGTTATTTAGTTGTAGTTAGTTAGTTAGTTAGTTAGTTAGTTAGTAGTTAGTAAGTAGTTAGTTAGTTAGTTAGTTAGTTAGTTAGTTAGTTATTTAGTTAGTTAGTAGTAGTTAGTTAGTTAGTTAGTTATTTAGTTAGTTAGTTAGTTAGTTAGTTAGTTAGTTAGTTAGTTAGTTAGTAGTTAGTTAGTTAGTTAGTTAGTTAGTTAGTTAGTTAGTTAGTTAGTTAGTTAGTTAGTTAGTTAGTTAGTTAGTTAGTTAGTTAGTTAGTTAGTTAGTTAGTTAGTTAGTTAGTTAGTTAGTTAGTATTAGTTAGTTAGTTAGTAGTTAGTTAGTTAGTTAGTTTAGTTAGTTAGTTAGTTAGTTAGTAGTATTTAGTTAGTTAGTTAGTTAGTTAGTTAGTTAGTTAGTTAGTTAGTTAGTTAGTTAGTTAGTTAGTTAGTTAGTTAGTTAGTTAGTTAGTTAGTTAGTTAGTTAGTTAGTTAGTTAGTTAGTTAGTTAGTTAGTTAGTTAGTTAGTTAGTTAGTTAGTAGTTAGTTAGTTAGTTAGTTAGTTAGTTAGTTAGTTAGTTAGTTAGTTAGTTAGTTAGTTAGTTAGTTAGTTAGTTAGTTAGTTAGTTAGTTAGTTAGTTAGTTAGTTAGTTAGTTAGTTAGTTAGTTAGTAGTAGTTAGTTAGTTAGTTAGTTAGTTAGTTAGTTAGTTAGTTAGTTAGTTAGTTAGTTAGTTAGTTAGTTAGTTAGTTAGTAGTTAGTTAGTTAGTTAGTTAGTTAGTTAGTTAGTTAGTTAGTTAGTTAGTTAGTTAGTTAGTTAGTTAGTTAGTAGTTAGTTAGTTAGTTAGTTAGTTAGTTAGTTAGTTAGTTAGTTAGTTAGTTAGTTAGTTAGTTAGTTAGTTAGTTAGTTAGTTAGTTAGTTAGTTAGTAGTTAGTTAGTTAGTTAGTTAGTTAGTTAGTTAGTTAGTTAGTTAGTTAGTTAGTTAGTAGTTAGTTAGTTAGTTAGTTAGTTAGTTAGTTAGTTAGTAGTTAGTTAGTTAGTTAGTTAGTTAGTTAGTTAGTTAGTTAGTTAGTTAGTTAGTTAGTTAGTTAGTTAGTTAGTTAGTTAGTTAGTTAGTAGTAGTTAGTTAGTTAGTTAGTTAGTTAGTTAGTTAGTTAGTTAGTTAGTTAGTTAGTTAGTAGTTAGTTAGTTAGTTAGTTAGTTAGTTAGTTAGTTAGTTAGTTAGTTAGTTAGTTAGTTAGTTAGTAGTTAGTTAGTTAGTTAGTTAGTTAGTTAGTTAGTTAGTTAGTTAGTTAGTTAGTTAGTTAGTTAGTTAGTTAGTTAGTTAGTTAGTTAGTTAGTTAGTTAGTTAGTTAGTTAGTTAGTAGTTAGTTAGTTAGTTAGTTAGTTAGTTAGTTAGTTAGTTAGTTAGTTAGTTAGTTAGTTAGTTAGTTAGTTAGTTAGTTAGTTAGTTAGTTAGTTAGTTAGTTAGTTAGTTAGTTAGTTAGTAGTTAGTTAGTTAGTTAGTTAGTTAGTTAGTTAGTTAGTTAGTTAGTTAGTTAGTTAGTTAGTTAGTTAGTTAGTTAGTTAGTTAGTTAGTTAGTTAGTTAGTTAGTTAGTTAGTTAGTTAGTTAGTTAGTTAGTTAGTTAGTTAGTTAGTTAGTTAGTTAGTTAGTTAGTTAGTTAGTTAGTTAGTTAGTTAGTTAGTTAGTTAGTTAGTTAGTAGTTAGTTAGTTAGTTAGTTAGTTAGTTAGTTAGTTAGTTAGTTAGTTAGTTAGTTAGTTAGTTAGTTAGTTAGTTAGTAGTTAGTTAGTTAGTTAGTTAGTTAGTTAGTTAGTTAGTTAGTTAGTTAGTTAGTTAGTTAGTTAGTTAGTTAGTTAGTTAGTTAGTTAGTTAGTTAGTTAGTTAGTTAGTTAGTTAGTTAGTTAGTTAGTTAGTTAGTTAGTTAGTTAGTTAGTTAGTTAGTTAGTTAGTTAGTTAGTTAGTTAGTTAGTTAGTTAGTTAATTAGTATGTACAACATGTATGTACAACATGTATGTACAACATCAAATCAGAAGAAATACATCTAGCCCTCGAGCCTGTTGTGCGTTCCTTTACTAGTGCCTCAGGTGGGAATCGATCCCACGCCTACCTGACTAGAAAACTAATCGCTAACCTACCGGAGGCCACACAATTCAAAACTTAGTTCAAAACACAACATTTGCTTACTATTTCTTGTCATTTTCAACTTTCTTATCGAAAGAAACATGTGACAAGCTTGTATATTGATTTCGTCAAAAAAATGGTGATATTCTTGTTTTTATAAACAATCATACAAATATGTTTGTAAGTATGTAAATGTTAAAAGAAATGCATATATTTAAATAAAATAATAATTAAGACCACAGATCAGCAGGGCCCCCCCTCAACTGCATGTGACTTTTAATAATCTTTTCTTTTGTGTAAGCTTTTTTTCTTTATTATTATTATTGTTTTTCTACTTTATTATTTTTATTAGTTCATTGTAGTTTAAATATGAATGTAATTTATATTTATACACATTTTAAAATAATATTGATGATAATTTTATGTGATTTTATATTTAGAAAATGCAAATACATTACAATTGACTATAATCTATATACAAGTAAATAAATTATATTCAAATTTTGTTCTACTATTATTAACAGTTTGTTTAGTTAAACGATAAGGGATATTATATAGTCTTTAAATTAAATAAAGTCGCGTGATGAAAGAAAAAAAAAGGTTATTAATGATAATGTTCTTTACAATTAAACAGACTGTACAAGTAGTGCAGAGTTGGATAGTTACAAGTAAATGTTTGTTTAATAGAAGTACAGTTTTAGTAATTATGCAAAATATTTAGTAAAGATTTTCTAAATAAATATTTCTTAAGGGACTAGATAATTATATTTACATATTTTTCTACATGTTTTGCATGTATAACTTGCCTCCTCTTAAAAGTGGGCGTTTCTGCAAATAACAAAACAATGAAACAAAATCAAAATTTTGACCTAAATTTTCGTCAACTTAATTGCTAAACTTACCTACCACAATTTCGTCTTTTAAAAGTCAACAAACAATTTCAACCATAATAAATACAATTATATTTTTCTGTTTATCATTTAAAATTATCACTTTACGTGGTAAATAAATCAATTTAAATGTTTCGTTAAACAGACAATGAAAACCAACAGTTCAACATAATTCTTAAGATCATTTTAAAAATAGTCGCCGTTTTTTTTGTTTGTCTTCGGTCAATAATTTCCTGATAAAAACATGTCGATTTTGTGGTTTATGAATGTGTATGCGCGTGTTTATTAATTATTTTGTTATTTCCGTCGTTTCTAATATAATATTTGTGTTTTTTTCTGTGTGTGTGTGCGATATTTCAGATTGGTAAACAACAGCATTATCATTTAGGACAATGGCTGCGTAAACGTTATGGCAGCCTTTTAAGTGACACCTATAATAAGGATGAGATATATGTACGTTCTACCGATGTTGATCGTACTCTAATGAGTGCTTTGTCTAATTTGGCCGGTCTCTATGAACCGGTTAAAAAGGATGTCTGGGATCCGGAAATACATTGGCAACCAATACCAGTTCATACCCAATTAGAAAAAACAGATGCGGTAAGTAATTCTAATATAGAAAGTCTTATAATTTTTAAAGGTTTTCTTTACTTTAGGTCCTTGCTGCCAAAGCACCTTGTCCAGCCTATGAATATGCCCTCTCTGCTTTAAAAAATTCCCCCGAAATGCAAGCACTTAACGATCGTTATGCTTATCTTTATAATTATCTTACCAAATATAGTGGCATGACAGTTGATTCTCTGGAATATGTGCAACGTCTTAATAATACCTTATTCATTGAGGAACTTTATAATAAAACTTTGCCAGAATGGACGAAAAAAGTTTATCCCAGTACAGATATGACTTATATAGCAGATTTTACATTTTCCCTTAGCACTTATACCAGACAAATGGCACGTTTAAAGACAGGACCTTTGATCAAAGAAATGCTAGAAAGATTTGTAGACAAATCGAAGGGTAAATTAAATCCTAATCGTTCGTTATGGATCTACTCGGCTCATGATACTACGGTGGCAAATGTTTTGAATACTTTAAAGTTATATGATGTAAGTTTGATAATATATTTAACATATTTAATAATGAATTACAATTTGTTTATTTTTGTTTTAGCTGCATAGTCCTCCTTATATTGCCTGCATAATGTTGGAATTACGTTTAGATGAAAAATTACAACCTTATGTTTCTATTTTTTATAAGAATACCACTGCTGAACCGGAACCTTTATACATACCCGATTGTGGTGTTTCTTGTCCTCTTAATCAAATGTTTAATCTATATAGTGATATTTTACCAAAAGACTGGGAAAGTGAATGTAAACTTTCCACTTTAATGATGACTTATGAAGAAGCCAATGTTGGTACAGCTATGGGTAAGTCTTTTTTTTAGATATTTTTTAAAGTTTTAAACATTTTTTGTTGATATAAAAAATGTTGCAGCAACATGTTGATATAAAAAATGTTTCTGCAACATGTGTCTATTCGACATTCTGTTAAATATTGAATATTCTGCTCCGCAACTGATACATTTGATTGTTAATAAAGCGATTTAAGATCCGTAGTCAATCTAATAGTAGTAGTCTAGCCCTACACTAGTCCAAAAATTTGTCAAGATACTATTCCATAGACTAGCCAATAGACTGGTCCAGATACCAGTCAATAAACCAGTTCATAGACTAGTCAATAGACTTGTTCATAGTCTATTCAAAAGACTAGTCAATAGACCAGTCCTGGTCAATAGACTAATTCATAGACTAATACAAAGACTGGTCTATAGACTAGTCAATAATCCAGTCAAAAGACCAGTTTATAGACTAATTAATAGACCAGTCCATAGACTAGTCAATAGACTTGTTAATAGACTAATCCATAGACTAGTCAATAGACCGGTCAATATAGACCAGTCCATAGACTAATTAATAGACCAGTCCATTGACTAGTCAATAGACCAGTCCATAGACCAGTCAATAGACCGGTCAGTCCGGTCAGGACCAGTCCAGTCCATTGACTAGTCAATAGACCAGTCCATAGACTAGTCAATAGACCAGTCCATAGACTAGTCAATAGACTAGTCCATTGACTAGTCAATAGACTAGTCCAATAGACTAGTCCATTGACTAGTCAATAGGCTTGTTAATAGACTAATCCATAGTCAATAGACCGGTCAATACAGACCAGTCCATAGACTAGTCCATAGAACAGTCCATTGACTAGTCAATAGACCAGTCCATAGACTGGTCAATAGACTTGTCCATGGGCAAACCCATAAACTAGCCAGTATACCATTCTATAGACTAGTCAATAGAATAGTCTATAGACTAGTCAACAGACCGGTCCATAGACTAGTACTTAAACTAACTAATAGACAGTCTATAGACTAGTCAATAGACCAGTACATAGACTAATTAATAGACCATTCCAATTTAAAGAACAGTCTATAGACTAGTCAACAGACCAGTCCATAGACTAGTTCTTAAACTAAACAATAGACAGCCCATAGACAAGTCTATAGAATATCCCATAGACTTGTCAATAGACCAGTCCATAAACTTGTCAATTGAATTATGAATTGACTAGCCAATAGACTGATCTATAGACTAGTCGGTAAACAATATGTTGCTAAGAAAATAAATTAAAAATCTCAGTAGATGATTTTTTTCTACCTTAAAACTTTCTAAACTATCCTTCACTAAAATTAATTAATAACTCTTTCTCCATTTTATCCTATTTTCTTTTTCATCTTTACAGGTATTTTAGTTGCTATTATAACCATTATGTTATTCCTTTCGTACGTTGTCATGATTTACTACCGGCGACGCAGTTACAAAAATCACTACTCCTACATACAGGTGGCTTAAATAATTTATATACTATTACTTTTACTTTTCTTTAATTTCTTTAGCCCAGCAGTAAATTAATCATTTATGTTTTTGTTTTCTTTTGCAATAATTTTTCTTCTTTATTTTCACCGTTTTCCCCTTTTAAAAACAAATTAGCAAAGCAAATTGGATGCCTAAAAATAAAATTACTTCATCAACTTCATTTCTGATTTATTGAATGCCTTCCTTCTGCAACCAACTTTGATACTCAAAATTAATTCCTAAAAAAATATCATATTATTATTATTATCGTTTTTGTTTTTCCTTGTTTTTGTTTTAGTTTTTTATAAAAATACAATTTTTTTTAAGTTTCATATTATGCATTTTTACACAAAACATGTTGCAATTGTTATTGTTCTCAAATTGAAACACATTCATGCCAAAAAAAAAGAAAGAAAATTAATGAATGCATTTGTTAAAGTTTATATTTATTAATTTTTTAAAACAGAAAAAAGCATTTGCTATTTTTTAAAAATAATTGTATTTAAAACATATTAATCATAAAATAAAAATCAAAGTCATTTAACATTGTGATTCACATTTTCAAAACCTATTACGGTTAACAAAAAAAACAAAAGATTTATTAAACATAAAAAAATTTATACAAACTAAGTAGTTATTTAAGATAAAATTGACTCAAAACACTCTCTCAACAATTTGTTATTTGAGCATTTTTTTTAAATAAATTAATTAATATATAAATGTAAAAATTGAATTGTTATTCATGGTATTTGTTAAACAAAAAATCATTTGTAATGTTTTTTGTTTATTACATAAATAAAATGTGTTGTATTTTTCGCTTAAAAATAATTATTAAAGAAATTATCAATTTATCTCTAACTCTCTATGTATATTATTAATGTAATTTTAAAAATAATTTTCACTTTGTTTAAAAAACATAAAAGAAAACACACATCATTTTTAATGTTATCAAAAAAATCAAAGTCACAAATTTGTGTTTTTTCTTAAAATTTTTATACATTTCATTGATAAGACTTTTTAACTGTATTTTGTTTTATTAATCATATACTAATCTTACATAAATATATTTTTTAGATATTAAACAATTTTTAAAAGAAAACATTTTAAAGAATTATTATAAAAAATAGTATAAATAATTATTAAAACAAGTTTTATTCAAATATAATTAAATGAAGATCTTAAAAGTTTACAATTGTTTTAATTGGTTTTAAAAATACATTTCTTTAAACGTATTTTCAAAATGTTGTTGTGAAACGTCTAAGTTAAACATGTAACAAGATATTATAATAGGTTTTGCAAATTTCACTACATTTATCATCAATCTCGTACACAGCACTTTGTTAATTGGGTTCAAGCTTTGTACAAATATCTTACAGCTTTTTAGCTTTATTTGCTACAAGTATTTGGTCTACTCGTTGTTTCGAATTAAATATTAATAGAATTTTATGTCCAGAAGTTGTTATTAAGCACTACAATTTTATTAGATAAAAAACGACTGAATTGTTATGTCAATCTACTTGTTAACGATAAATATCGAGCTACCCCCATGACATTTTCAGTACTTTTTCTAATAATAAATCAGATTGTAGTCTAGTCTATAGCCTTGTCTATATTATAGCCTACATTATAGTCTATAGTCTATTCTATGGCATATTCCATAGTCTAGTCAATACTCTAGTCAATAGTCTAGTCTGTAGTCAATTTTATAGTTTGTGCTATAGTCTATTTAGTCTATAGTCTAGTCTATAGTCTAGTCTAGTCTATAGTCTATAGTCTAGTCTATAGTCATAGTCTATAGTCTAGTCTATAGTCTAGTCTATCTAGTCTATAGTCAGTCTAAGTCTAGTCTAGTCTTCTATAGTCCTAGTCTAGTATCTAGTCTAGATCTAGTCTAGTCTAGTCTATAGTGCGAGTCTATAGTCTAGTCTATAGTCTATTCTATAGTCTAGTCTATAGTCTAGTCCTATAGTCTAGTCTATAGTCTTCTAGTCTATCTAGTCTAGTCTCATAGTCTAGTCTTATAGGTCTAGTCTATAGTCTAGTCTATAGTCCTAGTCTATAGTCTAGTCTATAGTCTAGTCTATAGTCTAGTCTATAGTCTAGTCTATAGTCTAGTCTATATCTAGTCTAGTCTATAGGTCTAGTCTATTAGTCTAGTCTATAGTCTAGTCTATAGTCTAGTCCTATAGTCTAGTCTATAGTCTAGTCTATATTCTAGGTCTAGAGTCTAGGTCTATAGTCTAGTCTAGTCTAGTCTATAGTCTAGTCTAGTCTATGTCTAGTCTATAGTCTAGTCTAGTAGTCTAGTCTATCGTCTAGTCTATAGTCTAGTCTATAGTCTAGTCTAGTCTAGTCTAGTCTAGTCTATAGTCCTAGTCTATAGTCAGTCTATAGTCTGTCTATAGTCTAGTCTAGTCTAGTCTATAGTCTAGTCTAGTCTATAGTCTAGTCTATAGTCTAGTCTATAGTCTAGTCTATCGTCTAGTCTATAGTCTAGTCTATAGTCTAGTCTATAGTCTAGTCTATAGTCTAGTCTATAGTCTAGTCTATAGTCTAGTCTATAGTCTAGTCTATAGTCTAGTCTATAGTCTAGTCTATAGTCTAGTCTATAGTCTAGTCTATAGTCTAGTCTATAGTCTAGTCTATAGTCTAGTCTATAGTCTAGTCTATAGTCTAGTCTATAGTCTAGTCTATAGTCTAGTCTATAGTCTAGTCTATAGTCTAGTCTATAGTCTAGTCTATAGTCTAGTCTAGTCTAGTCTATAGTCTAGTCTATAGTCTAGTCTATAGTCTAGTCTATAGTCTAGTCTATAGTCTAGTCTATAGTCTAGTCTATAGTCTAGTCTATAGTCTAGTCTATAGTCTAGTCTATAGTCTAGTCTATAGTCTAGTCTATAGTCTAGTCTATAGTCTAGTCTATAGTCTATAGTCTAGTCTATAGTCTAGTCTATAGTCTAGTCTATAGTCTAGTCTATAGTCTAGTCTATAGTCTAGTCTATAGTCTAGTCTATAGTCTAGTCTATAGTCTAGTCTATAGTCTAGTCTATAGTCTAGTCTATAGTCTAGTCTATAGTCTAGTCTATAGTCTAGTCTATAGTCTAGTCTATAGTCTAGTCTGTAGTCTAGTCTATATTCTAGTCTATAGTCTAGTCTATAGTCTAGTCTATAGCCTAGTCTATAGTCTAGTCTATAGTCTAGTCTATAGTCTAGAGTCTAGTCTATAGTCTAGTCTATAGTCTAGTCTATAGTCTAGTCTATAGTCTAGTCTATAGTCTAGTCTATAGTCTAGTCTATAGTCTAGTCTAGTCTATAGTCTAGTCTATAGTCTAGTCTATAGTCTAGTCTATAGTCTAGTCTATAGTCTAGTCTATAGTCTAGTCTATAGTCTAGTCTAGTCTAGTCTATAGTCTAGTCTATAGTCTAGTCTATAGTCTAGTCTATAGTCTAGTCTATAGTCTAGTCTAGTCTAGTCTATAGTCTAGTCTATAGTCTAGTCTATAGTCTAGTCTATAGTCTAGTCTATAGTCTAGTCTATAGTCTAGTCTATAGTCTAGTCTATAGTCTAGTCTATAGTCTAGTCTATAGTCTAGTCTATAGTCTAGTCTATAGTCTAGTCTATAGTCTAGTCTATAGTCTAGTCTATAGTCTAGTCTATAGTCTAGTCTATAGTCTAGTCTATAGTCTAGTCTATAGTCTAGTCTATAGTCTAGTCTATAGTCTAGTCTATAGTTAGTCTATAGTCTAGTCTATAGTCTAGTCTATAGTCTAGTCTATAGTCTAGTCTATAGTCTAGTCTATAGTCTAGTCTATAGTCTAGTCTATAGTCTAGTCTATAGTCTAGTCTAGTCTATAGTCTAGTCTATAGTCTAGTCTATAGTCTAGTCTATAGTCTAGTCTATAGTCTAGTCTATAGTCTAGTCTATAGTCTAGTCTATAGTCTAGTCTATAGTCTAGTCTATAGTCTAGTCTATAGTCTAGTCTATAGTCTAGTCTATAGTCTAGTCTATAGTCTAGTCTATAGTCTAGTCTATAGTCTAGTCTATAGTCTAGTCTATAGTCTAGTCTATAGTCTAGTCTATAGTCTAGTCTATAGTCTAGTCTATAGTCTAGTCTATAGTCTAGTCTATAGTCTAGTCTATAGTCTAGTCTATAGTCTAGTCTATAGTCTAGTCTATAGTCTAGTCTATAGTCTAGTCTAGTCTAGTCTATAGTCTAGTCTATAGTCTAGTCTATAGTCTAGTCTATAGTCTAGTCTATAGTCTAGTCTATAGTCTAGTCTATAGTCTAGTCTATAGTCTAGTCTATAGTCTAGTCTATAGTCTAGTCTATAGTCTAGTCTATAGTCTAGTCTATAGTCTAGTCTATAGTCTAGTCTAGTCTATAGTCTAGTCTATAGTCTAGTCTATAGTCTAGTCTATAGTCTAGTCTATAGTCTAGTCTATAGTCTAGTCTATAGTCTAGTCTATAGTCTAGTCTATAGTCTAGTCTATAGTCTAGTCTATAGTCTAGTCTATAGTCTAGTCTATAGTCTAGTCTATAGTCTAGTCTATAGTCTAGTCTATAGTCTAGTCTATAGTCTAGTCTATAGTCTAGTCTATAGTCTAGTCTATAGTCTAGTCTATAGTCTAGTCTATAGTCTAGTCTATAGTCTAGTCTATAGTCTAGTCTATAGTCTAGTCTATAGTCTAGTCTATAGTCTAGTCTATAGTCTAGTCTATAGTCTAGTCTATAGTCTAGTCTATAGTCTAGTCTATAGTCTAGTCTATAGTCTAGTCTATAGTCTAGTCTAGTCTATAGTCTAGTCTATAGTCTAGTCTATAGTCTAGTCTATAGTCTAGTCTATAGTCTAGTCTATAGTCTAGTCTATAGTCTAGTCTATAGTCTAGTCTATAGTCTAGTCTATAGTCTAGTCTATAGTCTAGTCTATAGTCTAGTCTATAGTCTAGTCTAGTCTATAGTCTAGTCTATAGTCTAGTCTATAGTCTAGT